AGGCTGAGTCAACCCTGAGCCGGTGAGATTTGAACAGCCGAACTGCAGAACTGCAGTCAGCTGAAGTAGCCTGCAGTGCTGCATTTAACCACTTGGGTTAAATAAAATAAATAAAAGTTGTGCTTCTATTATCTTACATAACAACAAAACACCATGAGATCTTTCCACTGTTTTATCCATAAACCCTAACAAAAAAGTTTCCAGCCTACGCTGTACACTAATTTTCAAAATTTTTGAACTGCATAGAAGGGAGCAGCTTCAAGTCCAGCTAGACCTTGGAAGGAGAATGACCAGGAGCTGTGCAGAGACAGTATCTTTGGGGGGCACACCTTGGTACCAAAGGCCCAGGATTACCAGTGAATTATGTTCCTGTTTGATGCTCTATGGACGCATTTTCTTATCTTTCCTCAAGTGAAGGCAAACATTCCTCAGCAGCAGAAGAATTTTTGAGCTTGGAGAAAGACAAGTTGTCTCTGATTTTTCAATGTGCCTGTGACATACATGACATGCTTATTTTTCTCTGAGCGCTCGGTTTCTTGGAGGGTACATGGGGAAATGAGCATGAGAAGAAAGCATGTGAGGAGGTAGTGGTGTAAACTTTTAGAGACTGAGAGGAATAACCTCTGGGATTTGGTTAACTCCGGGACTCCTTTGTATTCCTCACCATTTCTCTGATTTCAGGTCCTGCTCTGCAATAGAAAACCAGACCTATCCTATAATGGGGAATATGCGTAGTGCAAAGTTGAAATGAGGGGTCCTTGGTGCTCTCTGAGCTTGTTTTCTTGCAGGCATTTCATTACCTAAACTAGGTAACATTGGTGCTAGCAATGTGCTACCCTTCCAAGGCAATGGGTGCACTAAAGCCTATGCAAGTAGCCTTCATTGGCGGTATTGTCCTGAGCTGACCTGAGAGCCAGCTGCTTGCTCTATTTAATGTGTTGTCCCAGTGTTTCACTTGCTCTGCCATAGTGTAAGAGCCTTCCTTGGAAATTTGGAATGACGACTTCACCCATGTTTCCCTTCGGGGATATTTTAGAGGTACCTCAGCTGCTGGCTGCCTTTATTTCTTGATTTGGGAAGAGGAACTGTTGAGGAGTTAACTGTTCATTCCTAATGTTGGTTCTTCTTTCCCTATGGACTGACACCTGTGGATATTTCCCTGAAAAACTGGCTTGCTTAAAAATAATCTGTACAACAGCAAAATGTTTACTATCATTTGTCTGCTGCCTCTTCCCAGGCTCCTATTTGGATTAGCGGATTATTAGGATTTTCCTTCGTTACATATCTTCCTTTCTCAGATAAGACAAGTGGTAGGATATTCGTTTATGCAATGGAGTTGCTTACTCTCTTGCAGCGTGACCCTGAAGACAGAGAATGGGGACATCTTGGTGGACTATTCGAAGAATCTTGTTACAGAAGAAGTTATGAAGCTGCTGGTGGAACTGGTAATTTAATCCGTTACATCTTCAATAATGTTTTAAAACTTTTGGTCACATTTATGTATGACCTGCATTGCATGTGCTTTTTACAATGAACCATAAGCAAACAAAAATCCCCACACAGCCAGCTCATCTTATAAATAATCTAAAACGAAACTCCTCCAGATACAAACATTGATGAATTGATAGAGGGTGGTGTTTCCATATTTCTAGGCTCTGGCAGGTTGGGCTTTAGGTGTTCCTCTTTATAAATCCTTCGATCTACCACTTGCCTCCACTAATCCTGACCATAGGAGGTATTTTTGGGGTTTGACCTGACTTTCCTAAGGGATATTTTACTTTCCCCTTTCCTAGACATGGACCACAAGGAGTGGTTCTCTGTCAGGGAAGTTCGATTTCTGCCATGAGAAAGGGGTGAATTCAGTGCCCTCTTTTCGACTAGGAGTCTCTGATATGCCCAGTTCTAATTGAAAGAAAATGAAACAGAAAAGAACTCTGCCATTAATGCACCAGCCTCCCTGATGAACAGCAATGGGGATGGGTTGGACCTGCACCTGGCATACTCAGGTTCCAGCCCACATTCCACTGTGGAAAATGCCTGGGCTAACTTTGTGCCAGTTTTTCAGCCTAGCCCACCTGGAAGGGATGTAGTTATGGGAGTCAGTGAGAAAGAGAATAGCTACATAGGGCTCCCTTGAGCTGCCAGACAAAAGGTCAGCTCAGATACCTGGAGAAGTTGGCTATGTATGGAAAATGGACCAGCTATTTATCTGGTTTGTGCTGGAGGATTTGGAAAGCCTGTTATTTCCTACATTAAACAGCTCCTTTAACTTTCAGGCCAAATCGAGAGGCGTTGAAAAAGCTAGAGAGCAAATGTTCACTGGAGAAAAAATCAACTTCACTGAGGTAGGAGCTGTTCTTATCCCTGATCTGAAGGTTCTTCATGCTTGTGAAATAGTAACCTTTAGGCTTCGGGCTAGAAGAGTGTGCCATCATTTGGTTGCTTTTTTCAGCCCATCCGATCGGCGGATTTCAACTCTTTTAAAGGATTAATAGCTGTAAGCAACTGGATCCGAACAATTTTGGGTTCTTAAGTAGAACAGAAAAATAATTTGAGAGGCCAGTCTGGCCCAGGGCTGGGTGATCTCCTTGGGGTGGGGGAGGGTGGAGGAAAGTGGTGTCTAGCATCACTGGGTATTTTTATCCCAAGGCCCAAGATATAAATACAAATGTGTGAAAAAATGGAAGATAACTCTCCTCAAACTGAAGAGCCTAGGCCAAATTTGTGGAAGGGGGAGAGCTGGCAAAAGTAAGGTGGTGTTTGGAAATAGGCCAGATGCATCCAGCAGCCATACAGAGAAAATGCCCTGCCCTGGCTGCTGACAACTGCTCTGTCCCAGGCCCCTTCTGATCCAGAGGAGAAGTAGCGCATGCATACAGCAGGTCCAGGGACAATGTGGCACTTGGCTATCCAAGGGAGACTGCGGCCTGCTGTGCCTACTGGAGGTAGGGGAGCCGGAAAGAATGCAAAAGCCGCATCTCCTGCCTCCCCTGCCTTGTTTTGCACATCCCATGAGTCTCTAAAATCTGGGTGTGGAGACAGGCCTCCCCATGACATTCAGGTGGTATAATATTTCCTCCTTTTCCTCCCACTCCAGTTTGGAAGGAGTAAGAGTAGGAGAAGGCATCAGGTCAAGAAGCACAACCTCCCTGGGACCTTTCTGTCCAAATGCAGAGACCACAAATAATACAGTGGTCAGATCAGCAGAGGAAATAACATTTATGATCTGGTTTTGGAGGCTTGAGATTAAGAGCAAATAGGTTTATTACACACACACATTATGAGGACTTGATTCAACTATTTTTATTTTATTTATTTTATTTTTATTTATTATATTCCTATGCCACCCATCTCCCTTACAAGCTGACTGGGCATCTTATTAATTATATATGAAATACTTACATAAAATCTGCCGACTGGTTTTGACAATGTCATCTGAGCAGAATTGTGTCGTTTTGATAGAAGTTCTGAAAAGATGCCCGTGGAAAGTCTTGCAGACTTGTTACGAAACCCTTTGCTTCTGCAAAGCCAAATGACCTGATGCTCTTTGGGAGGGTGGAGGGCAGCTTAAAATACATCTTAGAGGAATTACATGAGCAAAGCAAGTTCCTCAGTGGTAGCAGAGGAATCCACTGGAGTTCCTCTTCTATAACCCACAGCTTATGTTCGTTACTTGGTTGTGTAATAGCTGCACAAAAGTAAAAGCGATATTTAAATGGTTTCTGAAGACTCTCCAGTAACCTAGGCTTCTTCCAATGGGGAGTCTCTGGATTTGTGGACCAGAATGTGCAGGTGATGGGATAGGCTAGCCATGTTCAGTTCAGATAATTGGTGGTTTGCTGGTGAAAATAAAAATAGATGGCTGACCGCTAAGGACAAGCTGCCTACTGATCTCTTAGTGAAATGCTTTTTATTAAGTTTTCTAAAATGTTTGGTTTGGAAAAACCTATTAAAACTTTACAGAGAGAAGCTAACAACGTTCATGCAGCCATTGTTCTCCAAGCTAGTTTAGGGGGCTGCAACTACCTGATTATCGGGAGGAATTCTAGCCAAGTCTAGCGGTTGGCATTCCCTCCTGGCCCTTCAGCTGTCACAATTTCCAGACACCGACACAGCACCAATCATGCCTGGTGCAGTGCCAGGTTACTTAAGCGTGATCTTGGGAGAGCATCACGGGAAGGCTCACTCAGGCCCCTGTCACAGCAACAGGCCAAAGTCCTCTGTGGCGGCTATGGTCATGTGCAGCCTGCCTGTGGTTGCTCCCTCAGCGCTTGGCATCCCAGAAAGCTGTGACTGGCTTTGCTCTCAGCAATTTTGAGCTACGTTACATTTATATTTTTTACACAAAGTGTGGAGCCTGCCTTTAGAGGAAACAGGCAAGCAGCCTTTCTGGGGAGGTCACAAGTCAAGGATGAAGAAAGGCTGTAGGAGGAACCAGGCCGAAGAGGCCTCCAGTCTTTCCTAAGGGGATTGTGGGAATGGCGAGGTGACAGGAAGAGGGAATAGTCTTGGCTTGCACTGGTTTCTAGATCAACAGTTACTCTGGTTGAATGCCCAGCAGAGTGGCACTTGTGCTGCAGGTCTTTCTTGGGTAGTTGTGGGGGAGGTGGGTAAGGGTTTGTGTGTGCTGAACTTGCTTTCATTCTCCTCTCCTCACTTCCTGCTGCAGAACCGAGCTGTGCTTCACATCGCTCTCCGGAATCGCTCCAATACTCCAATCCTCGTTGAAGGCAAAGATGTTGTTCCAGAAGTCAACAAAGTATTGGAGAAGATGAAGAATTTCTGTCAGGTATAAAGTATTTCCTGTCATTAACCGAGGACTATCTGTATTACATATAATGGTGGTATACTGCTATGACTTATACCTGTATTACCTTGACTTACGGCCACAATTGGGACTGGTCACTAGGTAAAATGGTTGAGGCGTCATGTGGCCACTCTGCTTAACAACCACAATCCCAGCTGCCACCATTGTAATGCGAGAATTGCTGGTTAAGCGGACGGAGCCCCAGGTAGGGACTTGGAGGCTCAGCACAGGTTGATGGGTGTTGCAGTGTGGCCTGAGCACAAGGGGGGCAAGAAAAGAGGCCACAGCTACCCCCACTTAGTCCAGCAAAAAGGCCCCCCACATAGAGAAGCATCCAACGCCCATAAACCTCCAATGGCGCCCCCTTTCCCTCCAGAAGCCCTGCCCAGATGCCCACGCCACCCTCCACTGGACCTTCACCCTTCACTTGATCCTGCTGCCAAATAGCCTTGCCCACCAAGACCCTCTGGCCATGCCAGTCCTTCTCCACAAGGCCACTCACACCATTCTCCAAGAGCCCATGGCCCCCTGGTGAGCCTTTGGAAGGCTTCCAAACCTTCTGGGGAGGCTACACAGGATCTGAAGGAGGCCATGCACAGCTTCTGGAAAGCTGGAACAGCCAGCAGCTGCCTAGGGCCACGCTGGCCAGGCTTCGTCAGCAGCGGGAGCAAGAAGATGGAGGAGTCAACCCTGGGCCGTGGTGGCAAACCTATGGCATGCGTGCCACCTGTGCAAGGTGTTGCCCTGTCAGCTGGCCAGCGCACATTCAGGCGGAGTTTCCCTGAAGCTTCCCTGAAGGCGCCGGAGGGCTAAAACCAGCCCTACGAGCAAACCGGAAGTCCATTCCCGAACTTCTGCTTTGCCCCTAGGGCCGGTTTTTCACACTCCAGAGGCTTTAGGGAAGCTCCTAAAGCCTCCGGAGGGGCGGGGGGGGGGGGGGGGGGGGGAGCAGGGGAGGCAGTTTTCGCCCTCCCCAGACATCTATAAAGCCTCTCGAGTCTGAGGAGGGTGAAAAAAGCACATCAGAAATGGGGAGCGCTGGTCATGCGCGCTGGGGTTGTGCACATTGCATTATAGGTGTGGCACACCTGTGCATGACACCCCCCCCCCCCGCGCTCTCCCTGCTTTTGGCAAGGGAGCCAAAAAAATTTCGCCATCACTGACCTAGGAGGTAATGGAGCACAGGGGGCCAAAGTGGCAGAGGTGGGGTGAATTGAAGCATCACTATGGTCATAAGTGTGGGTGGGCTGCTGGCTCTGAATTGTGATTGTGTGTGTGTGTGTGTGTATGCTCACTGCAACAGCTGTAGCTTTGGGCACAGATCATTAGTCCCTTTGTTGAGCATCATTGTAAGTTTGAACAGTCCTCAAACAGATAGTTGTTGAGTATTACTGTAACCCTCATTAAATTGCAGGCTTGTGAGTTTTAGGGGGGATGGTAAACATCTTGCTGTGAATATAGTTGTCCAAGTAGAATGTGGTGTGGTGGACCTACAGTTCGAGTCTAAAGAGCGAGATGCCCTTGTTTGTTGTGGAATTATAGCAGCATACATTGGAGAAGGCAAGAGGTTGGGCTGGGGAGGCACAACGGAGTCATGAAAAGAAAGGCCCATGGAAAAATTTCTAGCATAAAAAAGCAAAATAAGAAAACAGGCTGAATCGCAGATTGAAGAATAAAATTGGGACCATAGAATTGTAAAAACGATCTTGCAGGTTTACTCAAATGAGCAGATTGGACGTCCCCAGTCGCAGAATAGTAAGGCATTCATTCAAAATCCTCAGCATTGTTTTAAAGCAAAGTTTTAAAACCTGATGGGCCCCAGAGGCAAACATACTTTCTGAACGGGCCGTTCTCTTCTTTCTTACAGAAAGTCCGTAGTGGAGACTGGAAGGGCTATACTGGAAAAGCCATCACGGACGTGGTCAACATTGGCATTGGTGGTTCTGATTTGGTGAGTGAGTGAGTCTCTGCAGCATCTGCCTGTGCAGGACTGGTGAGTTCCGGAGCATAGCAATGTTCAAGGCTTGTCTTCTTCATCCAGGGGCCCCTCATGGTGACCGAAGCACTGAAGCCTTACTCCAAGGGAGGCCCTCGTGTTTGGTTTGTGTCCAACATTGATGGCACCCACATGGCCAAAACTCTGGCGGAGCTGAATCCCGAGACAGTGCTCTTCATCATTGCCTCCAAGGTATGTCCTGCTCTGGGGAAGGAGACTTTTCCCCGTTCTTTCATCAGTAGAGGTGAGGCGGTCTCTGCCTTTCTTGGCAATCTGGAGGGTGAGCCTTGCTGAAGCAGCTCGGGATCATTAATGTGGTGGAAAAGATTCAGTGTCGGTGAGCCCTAAGCATTCGTTTTTTCATCCATACGAAGACTAAGGAGGGATTAGCAACTGGCTTGCTTCCTGTTTTATTCTCCAGGGTGGCCAGCTCAGTCATTGAAGGAGTAGTCATTGGGGTCTTTTGACACCAAGTGTTATTTTGGAATGAGCATAATATGGTGATGGAGATTGTCTGGGGCCATCCAGCCAGGGCCAATCCCTCTGTTGAGGGTTATGAGGATGAGGCAACTTGTTTTATCTTTGCCTCATCTTTGGTTCAAACAATAGCAAAACTCTGGATATAGGCACTCTAATGTTTTGGGAAGTGTGATGGATGCAAAATGCAATTTGTGCACTGCTACAGTCCTTGTAATCCCTTCTTGGAAATAATTAGGTTTTGGAGGCTGATATATAAAGAGAACTTAGTGTACATTTGGGTTCATTAACAATAGCGCTTATACGTTTATACTTTTAAACTCATGCCATTCCACAATGCTTTCTAGCACACTCTGAGGGGTTTACAGAGCCCAGCCTATTGCCCCTAACAATCTGAGTTATCATTTTCCCGACCTCTGAAGGATAGAAGGCTGATTCAACCTTGAGATAGAACTACTGGCAGTGGGCAGAATCAGCCTGCAATACTGCATTCTAAGCACTTTACCACGATGACTCCATGGGTTAAAATATTTGGCCTTACATTTTCATTGGGAAAACTATCTTGTCATTGTTGAAAAACTAGATAGGTATGTAACGGTATGAGTGGCATTTTTTAAGTTTGCTTTTTTAAAATAAACAAACTATTTTGGGAGAAGAGGTAAAGTTAGTCCCCAGGGTTACATGTGAGTGCTTGAATAAGTAGATCCAGTAGAGAAGATTGGTCCCTAATCAGCTGCATAATTATGTCATAAAAACAGTCATTTCTCATTTAGTGGCTACTTCATTTGATGACCATTCATAAGTTCAACAGTATTTTTTTTTAAAAAAAAATCTGATCGGTGCATGCACTTACAACCAATTTTCTGCATGAACAACAACATGGCAGAGTGAGAGTGACAGAAACAGCTGCAGAAGAAAAAGTGAGCTTAAGCAATTGCAGTTGCTAAACAAGGAGAGGATGTAGGCCACCTTTGGCTAAGGAGCAGATTGGCTGGAACTCAGTAGCCAAGTTGCCTGCTTAAATGTTGGATGGGTGGGTGGGTGGGGGAAGGCAGCCACCAATGATTCCAAGTTGTTACCAATGATCAGCTGTTAGAGAATGGGACTACACACATTTCTCCAGGAATAAGTCTTGGGGCTCTGGTGGCTTTTACCCCAATTGCATAAAGAGTTCCAAATGGATTGTTTCCTTCTCCCAGTAATAAACAAGTATGTTTGCAATTAATAGTTAAAATATCAAATTAAGTCAAAAGAACTAAAAACATGCAAAATGTTGTTTAGACAGGTCGAAGCAGAATCGCTAAAGAGTCAGAATGTCATTGATTTGTAGTGGCTTGGAGTTCTAGTATTTTTGTCGTTTCTGTGACTGAGAGAACCTAATGAAGTACCAAAACATGCAATCATCCTATCAATGAGTGAGCATGGAATTTAGCCTTTCTTTCTGTAGAATCGGGGTAGTTTTCCTTAGAGGCCTTGGTAATGAAATAGTTGAAAAGGAACTTATTTGGCCTGTTCACAAAGATGCTTCATTATGTTAGTGCTAACCTGATTCAAAATTAAGCAGTTCTCCATTCTCCCTCTGCAACCAGTCGGGTTACCAAGACTTTCAACCTTGGTCTCTGCGACTGCTGCACAGCTGATTCTGTCCCAAGAAGCCCCTGGGCCCATTTGAAGGACCTTCACCCTGGCTTTGCTCCACCAGGCACTGAGTTGCTAGATGACCTAACTAGGCCTTTCACTCTTTCTTCTCTCTTGGTTCCTAGACTTTTACCACTCAAGAAACCATCACAAATGCTGAAACTGCCAAAGAATGGTTCCTTCAAGCTGCTAAAGATGTAAGTAAAGGTTGATTTTATTTTATTTTTTATTATTTTATTTTATAATTTATGTGCTACCTATCTAGCTGTCTAGAATGACACTGGGTGGCTTTTCTTTTTTCCAACATTTCCCATCCCAGTCTTTTGGGTGGGTAACAAAAAGATAAAAGAGAGAACACAAAATGAGAAAAGTGAAATAACGAAACAAAGGTGCCAGGAAGAACTAAGAGCCAAAAGATGGTTTTAACTTGCTTCCAAATGCCAGCAGGGTTAGAGATGCCTGTCCTCCCAGAGGAAGGGGCTGTGCATCCTGAGAAGGTTGTTGATTGCTCTACAGCCTGTGAGAAGTTGGGATCTCGACTGACGGTTGTTGAGTATTCAGTTTACCTGGGAGCATCCCATAATTTGCCTGGCTTTGTCTTTGAATGATTTGAAGATCGGGAACAAGATAGGACCCACCACTGCAAAACTTCTGTCTGGTGTCGTGCAAACAGTTCTTACTATAAAAGGTGTGTGGATATATACAGGCCTTTTTTGAATCTTCAGAAGGACAATTTTTGAATTTTTCAAGGGTTTGTTGGTACTTTGGCATCCTACCTGAATGTCTACATTCAAAGTCAAATCAACCTGCCTGTCAGGGTTTCAAATAGTATTCAAAAGTACATCAGAGTCCAAGGCAAAGTATTGCTCAAAGTTCCAGTTTATTAAGAGAGCCATGTTGGCACATCTGGGAAAACCCGAATCTGAAAGCTTCCCGGGTTTCCCCACCCAGTTGAAAGTTCAAGATCTTGCATCCCCACACCCACAAGTCCATCACTCGGTCCAATCTCCCACTGCCATGCTGGCACCTTCCACCCATCCAGTTCCAGTCAGGTGCAGAGCTGCAAAGACAAAGGATGACCT